GGCCGAGCAGGAGGCGGCGCGCCGCATCTTCTACGACGGCATCATGGAGCGCATCCCCAACACGGCCTTCCGCGGCCTGCGGCAGCACCCGCGCACGCAGCTGCTCTACGCCCTGCTGGCCGGTCAGTGCGCGGGGGACCCCGCCGCGCTCCGCCTGCCGCAGTCCGCGCCCGCCCGCCCCCCTCACCCCCGGGGACAGACGCACAGGACCCCCCGAGCCCCGCTCGCCCCCACCGCGGGGCCCGGCCCCGGGAGGGAAGCCCACCCCTCGGGCCCCCTCATGCCCTCTCGCACGCGCACGGACGCGCACCCGCACGCCATCCGCTTTCTGCGGTGGCCTGGGGCGAGGTGGCCCCCGGCGGCGGCGGCGGCGGCGGCGGCGGCGGCGGCGGCGGCGTCCGGGCTCTTGGCCAAGGCGCGCCGGGTGGGGGCGTGGGAACGAGCGCCGGCGGAGGGTAGGGGGCCGCGGGCGAGGGGAGAGGGAGGGGGAGAGCCGGGGTCTCCACCTGCGTCCCCTCTCGGTCCGGCCCCGCCTCTCCGGTCCCGTCCGCGGTCATCCCGGGTGGGGGCGGGGTGGCGGCAGGTAGCGCCCGCTGCTGAGGCTCCGCGCCTGGCGCGTGTAACTATATATAATCCGCGGGGCGGGGGAGGCTGCCTCGGCGGCTCCAAGTGCTAATTTATGAGGGGAAGACAGCCAGCTCCCCCGGGTGCCGGGGGAGGGTGAGTACCGAGGAGGCAGAGCGAGGGGGCCGGGGGTGGGGGGGGTGGGGGAGGCAGCCCCCGCAGGGGCTTTGAGGCCTTTTTCCACGGAGCCCCGGAGGGCGGTTGCCCCCATTTCACAGATGAGCTTGAGGCCGGGGGTGGTTGCTCTCCCAAGGTCACGCAGCAAAAGTGACTTTCACTGCAGGCGCGTCTGTCTCCTGGCAGCCTAGATGGGTCTGGAAACCATCTCGGACTTCCCTCCCTCATCCCCCCACCCTCACCTGAGAACACTGGGGGGGCTGGCCCTGGGGCCCTCTGCCGGAAGGTGCCCCCCTGCGACTCCCCGAGTTTACAAGGTGGGACAGCCTGTCCGAGCCCCGCTCGAGTGCGCAGGGGTGTGTGCACGGCCGCTGCCACATGGGGGCCACATGGGCGGTGGGCACGGGCCACGAGGAACCCCGCCTGGGGGGCTCTTCCTGCCAGCCACGGAAGGCGGCTGCCCAGAAGCCGCCGCTGTGCTCAGAGCGGTTAGAGATCCCGTGATGTCAGGTTACCGAACAGCGCGTCCTGACGGTGGGAAGTTTGCCGCGAGGGAAGAGAGGGAGAGGCCGGCAGGCCGACCCGCTGCTCCCGCGGAGAAGCGGCTGCGGCGTGCTGGGCGCATGTGCCCGGCTGGCTTGTTTAGCAGGGAGCTGCGGGGGGGGTGTGTGTGTGTGTGTGTCTCTCCCCCAGCCCGGGGTCGCCCGCTCTGCCCGCTGCTCACCGGGGCCCCCCTCTCCCCGCAGTGCTGTGTTTTGCCCTGACCCGCTCACTGCTGCTGACGTGCCTGGTGCCGGCGGGGCTGCTGGGCCTGCGTTACTACTACAGCCGGAAGGTGGTCCTTGCCTACCTGGACTGCGCTCTGCACACGGACATGGCCGACATCGAGCAGTACTACATGAAGCCCCCCGGTGAGTCGCGTGTCTCCGGCCCCTTCCTCGCCCCTCCCACCGCCCCTCCTTCCGTTAGGGCCACCCTCACGCCGCCAGCCAGCCGCCCCGGGGACTGGCCTGGGGGGACAGACCGGGCCTGGGCGGGCCTGGGCTGGCGCACCCGGGGCCCTGAGTCTTCTGAGTGAGGGCTCTGGCGGGGGGGGGGGTTGGGGGTGCAGAGGGCCGGCAAGGGCTGGGGGAGGCCGAGCTAGGTCCTTGGTGCCGAAGCAAGGCCCCCGAGCGTCTGCACAGACCCCAGGCCTCTGTCCTGCGTCTTGTGGGGGCGGGGGCGTGTGTCCTGAGCCGGCCCTGGGCAGCGCTTGCCTTCCGGATGCCCTTTCCCCGGTGCCTGCTGCTCAGAGCGGGTGGGACCTTTCTCACCTCTCCTCGGGCCCCTCTGCTGTGCTTTGCTGGATCTTGGGCTGGCCTGGAGCGGCCAGGGCCCTGGCGGAGGGGGACCTCATGGTGGCGAGAAGGTTCTTCGTGGGGTCGCTGAGGGCTGTGAGCCCTGCAAGAGCAGGGGTTTTCAGTCTTGCCCCCACTTCTGGTTTCTGGGCCAGTTAGTGAGGCAGAGGGTCTTGCCCCAGCCCCCGGGCTTCTGTAGACGGAGGGCCTGGGTCTGGTCTAGAAGGGTCTGCAGCCCTTGGGGGCTGTCCTCTGTCCTCCGGGCTGATCCTGAGGCAGGCTGGGTCCTGGGAGGCAGGGCCACGTGTTTTTCTCCATGTCCTGAGCTAGCTGGAGGAGGGAGCCTGCGTCTCAGCCCTCTGGGGTGTTGGGGTCTCCCAGGTGCCAGAGGGTTCCTAGGCCGAGGAGAGGGGACCGTGTGGCCCAAACGGTTGGTGAGCTCTAGGGAGGAGCTGCGGGTCACGGGGACAAGAGCAGCGAGGCTTCCGGAGCAAGGGTGCCCCACCTTGGCACCACCAGCCCCTGGCCCACCAGCCCCAGCCTGTGGTGCCCTGTCCTGCGCTGCCTCCACCCCCATTCCCAGCCCTTTGGCACCTTCGGTTTTCCTGGCCCCTTTCCTCAGCTTGAACTCGGCATCTTCTCGGCCTCCACGGAGTCCCAGCTTCTGCAGAAGGGCAAAGCCCACCTAGCTGGTGCCAAGGCCCAGGCTGCAGGAGCAGATCGGGGCTCGGCCTGGGAGCTGGGAGGACCCTGCTGTCGGCCCTGCTCTTTCTGGGCCATGGTCTCCCTGGGTGTGAGTGCAGGGTGTGCCCTGCTTCCCCCGGAGACGTCCTGTAGGTTGCGGGAAGGGGCCCCGGGGGCAGGGAGGCTAGCCGACGGGGCTGTGCGGCTCGGGGTACAGGGAGATTTGGTCTGGCCTGGGTGTGTGGGGGGGAGCCAGAAACCCTGATGGTGGGCAGGCCGGCTGGTAGGGGTCCATCAGGGCGGGGGGGGGGGGGCTCGGCCGTTCCTGAGCTCTGGCTACAGGCCAGGTGTCAGTATGGCAGGGAAGGAGACGGGAGACCCTGTGGCCAAGCTGACGGGCTGATGGGGCCTGCTGGCAGACGAGACAGTGGGGGACCCTTGGGGGGTCGGGCAGAGGGGTGAGATCTCTGGGCAGGGTCAGGTGCAGACCCTTTCTGGGGGGACAGTTTGGCCACTCGAGGGG